TTTCATTACATCATTAGAAAAACAAGACGATTCGTTGTACCGTTCTCGAAAATAATCCTAGTCTGAATTTAATCCCCCTTCCCCCCCCCCCCGTCCCGCGCGAAGCACGGAAGCTTTTACGATTCATTAAATCATCAGGGAAAGAAGACGATTCGTTGTACTGTTCTCGAAAATAATACTTGTCTGAATTCAGTTCCCCCCCCCCCCCCCCCTCTCGCGAGAAGCGCAGAAGCTTTTACGTTTCATTAAGTCATTAGAGAAACAAGATTCGCTGTACAGTTCTCGACTCTTAATCCTCGTCTGTATTCAGTTTTTTCCCTCCTGCGCATGGGTGTCGATCCCGGGGGGATGGGGGGGGGGGGGGGGAGGATATATCCCCCCAATATTTCAGGTGGGGGGGGGATGGCCTGTACAATCATCCCCCCCCCCAATAATTCACCATAACAAAAAATAAAAAAATGAAGAGAAAAATTAATGAGAGTCCGATGAGAGTAGTTAATGGTTATTACTCGCAAGATGACCATCAATATACACATTTTGCTATCTCATTTTCATAATACATACATATATACGAAGTAAATAAGACAACCGTATATGAGACAAGAATAAATTGAATTCTCGCTTATACGGCTTCATCAGGAATTGACGAATTTATTCAATTTGTTCAATCAACAGCATCATAGAAATGCAGTGCGCCAAATGCAAAGACGCAGCATCAAAAGCAACGAGCTAAATGTTAAGCGCGAAGCACAAAAGTAGCAATCTGCAATGCACATCGGACAATCCTGGACAGTGTAAACATAAATGAACTCTGTGACGATTTCGTGATGAGATCGGAGACAAGGAGAAAGATTTTCGGACATTAGTATGACTTATAAAATAGTTCACTAGTTGTTATGTTGTTTCCGTTTACCCTTTTTAAAATTCACGTCATTGTATCTTTATTTTTATTTTTTTCACTCATTTTATTTCCTGATATTTCCTAAAACATTTTTCATTTTTGGAGAAAGATTATTATGTCACAACTTATTTGTGACACAACTTATTTTCAGTTGGGAAACTGAATTCAGACAAGGATTAATATAGAGAACAGTACAACAAATCGTCTTCTTTCTCTAATAATGTAATAAAATGTGAAAGCTTCCGCGCTTCGCGCAGGAATGGGCAAAAATGATTTCAGACAAGGATTAAGAGTCGAGAATGGTACATAGAATCGTTTTCTTTCTTTAATAATCTAATGAAACGTCAGAGCTTCCGCGGTTGCTTTGATTCATTGCCGAAAATATTTTGGCACCTATCATCCCCCCCAACCACGGATACAAATCGACACCCCTGCTCCTGCGCTAAGCGCGGAAGCTTTTAGGTTTCATTAAATCTTTAGAGAAAGAAGACGTATTTAGTTCCCCCTTAAGCTTTTACGTTTCATTTAATCATTAGGGAAACAAGACGATTCGTTGTACAGTTCTCGACTCTTAATCCTCGTCTGAATTCCGCGAAGCGCGGAAGCTTTTAGGTTTCATTAAATCAAAGAGAAAGAAGACGTATTTAGTTCCCCCCCCCCCTTCCCCCCTCCCCTCCCGCGCGAAGCGCGGAATTTTTAACGTTTCATTAAATCATTAGAAAAACAAGACGATTCGCTACGTTTCATTAAATCATTAGAGAAACAAGACGATTCGTTGTACAGTTCTCGACTCTTGATCCTCGTCTGAATTCCGCGAAGCGCGCAATTTTTTTAGTTTCATTTAATCATTAGAGAAAGAAGACGTATTTAGTTCCCTTTTTAAGCTTTTACGTTGCATTAAATCATTAGAGAAACAAGACGATTCGCTGTACAGTTCTCGACTCTTAATCCTCGTCTGAATTCAGTTTTCCCCTCCCGCGCGAAGCGCGGAAGCTTTTACGATTATTAAATTATTAGAGAAAGAAGACGATACGTTGTACCGTTTTTTACTCTTTATCTTCTCCTTTTTCTTCCTACGTCCTCTTTCTTTTCTCTCATCTTTTTTTTTTTTTTGGCCGGCGATTTCGGGGGGACCGCCTCACCGCCCTCCCCCCTTTGCTTCGTGCCTGCGGTCAGTTAAACACATTTTGATACCTTGTCCGACCCCGGAAGCTGAGGGGTTTAAGGCAAAAAATTACTGTCAGATAAGCATTCAGGGGCCCGCCTTAGGGCCCCTGGTGGGGTCGAGGCAGTGGTGACCCCGGAAGCTCAAGGGTTTTAGGCGTTTATTTACGGTCAGATGAGCCTCTTTTTTTATACCTTTTTATTTTGTGACACTGGCAGAACACTATTTGGCGTGGGGTCCAGGGGGCGAAGCCCCAAAAAATCAGGGGTTTTGAGCAATAAATTACCGTCAGATGAGCATCTAAAGCTATGGTCACAAATCAGAGCAGCGATCGACCGATCAGTAGCCTGCTCGGTCGCTGCTGGAATTAGGCATCGCCCAGCGATTAGGTCGGTGCCCGGGCGGCGACCGCCCAGGCACCGAGCGTATTTTGGGCGACGAGTGAAAAGTGAGCAGGCGCCGCCCAAATTTTAACTCCGCGCTAAAACTTCAGCGGCGACCGAGCGATGCCCTAAAAACGAGCGGTGCCTGGGCGGCCGCCGCTCGGTGGCCGGCCAGCCGCCGGGCAGAATTGGTTAAAAACTCGCCGCTCGGTCGCCGAGCAGGCTACTTTTGGGTAATGTGACTATAGCATAAGGGCCCGCCTTAGGGCCCTAGGTGGAATCCAGGGGGCAGAGCCTCCGGAAGCTTAGGGGTTTTAGGATTTTAATCACGGTCAGATGAGCATATTATTTTGATGCCTCATTATTTTTTGACACTGGCAGTTAACTATTCTTTCTTTCTTGCTCTCTTCTTTTTTTCTCTCTTTAATATACTTTTTTCAAAAAAAAGTGGGGGGGGGGGGGGGGGAGCTCGAGGTTCCCGATCCCCGCCGTTCCTCCGGCCCTGACACGTAGGAATCTCAAGAGTCATATTTCTTACCTGGCTGTAAATTTAGGAATTCGTCATTTTCCAACAAACACATAAAAAAGTATAATTTACTAAAAAGTCAGAAAATTATGTCATTTCAGCATTATTTGTAATCCACCTTTATGGAATTAGAAATAAACCACGTGTGAATTTGATTTCCCCAAAGCCCCCCCCCCCCCGATCAGTACGCCAGTATCTCCTCTTTTCCTTTTTTCTTTCCCCTTCGTTCTCTCTTATTTTTTTGATTGGGGGGGGGGGGGGGCAACAACCTGGGAGGCAAGGCCCTTTCGGCCCCCCAAACTCCTTCTTCCCCCTTTTCTTTTCTTCTTCCTCTTCTTTCTTTCCCTTTCTCTCCCCTTTCTCTTTCCCTTCTTTTCTTTTCTTCTCTCTCTCTTTTTTTTTTTGCGGGGGGGGGGGGGCCAAGGCCCGCTCGCCCCCCCTGGATCCGCGCCTGTCATGGGGGAGTTCTAAGAAAACTTGAGTAATCACTTAGTAGCGCCACGAACACACAGAAAAACACTGCCATATCATTATGAGATACAAAAGGCCAGATACAACGTATTGATAAATGGCTCGGACAAAATTGATAGCAAGCGATGAATTTGAATAGCGAGGAAAAAAAATAATGTACGTGTTCGATTTTTGTATTTTTTTTTTTATTAATATGAAAATGTGACAGCACTCTGTGATGCCCATTGGCATATGAATGTGTTATACTCACGGGTAGAAAGTGGTTTTACTACCATCGGGAAGAATCCAGCCAAAGCTGGTATTGAAGCTGACTCCATTGACTCCTACAAGACACTGCAGTGGAAGATGGTTAAGATGAGCAGCGAAACCAAGACCAACGGCAACACCATCACCCGAGATAAAACACCGATTCGACTCTCATCAACCATGCGATGAGTGGCTAATCGATGGAACAATTGCTACAAGGTAGAACAGAAAAGAATAATTGACATGTTATAGAAAGATAGAGGGAGGGGGCAATCATAAAAAGGTAAAGGGAAGTGTGATGAGGGAGAGAGAAGAGAGAGAGAGAGAGAGAGAGAGGAGAGAGAGAGAGAGAGAGAGAGAGATGATGGGTGAGATAGATCGAAGTGAAGCGGAGGCGGGAGTATAGATACAGACCATGCAGACGGATGAGCACATAAGAATTGCAAAGAAGAAAATTGATATAGACATTGACTTTGTTTTGGAATGACTTACGGGTCACCAACAGTATGCATTTCAAAAGTTATTCAGAATGAAAAATAAATCGAATGAACGCACTAACGTGTGGATGGTTCATTACACTCCGCGTCCTAAATAATTCTGCACTTCTGCTACAAATACACATTTTCAACTTGGTTTATAGAGGTACATGTTTTAATTACGTACCTCCATTAATTGTGTATTGCAATACCCAAAATAAGAAATGATGACTAGGACTAAATACCTCAAGACAGTTTATGTTGATAATATCAGTTTGGAGTGGGAATCTTGTTGTCATGGTAACATAACCATGAGAAGCAAGCAGAGCTGCTAGATGTTCACGATGACTTTCTTCTGCTCCACGAAAATCGAGAATCGCAGGGAGGGGCTTAGAACCTTGGGGGGAAAAAAATGATAAAGTAGGTCGAAAATTTTGATCAGAACTTCTATTCCGATAAATCCTCTTTCCCTTAAACACAATCGAATGCCTGTATTTCATACATTGCTACGAAATGACGAAAGAAAAGTGACATCGAATGTACATGACTGCCAGTTGCTTAAACATTATGCACTAAAAGCTCAGTCAAGGCATCGTATCTCCAGCTGTCTCTTTCGATACAGGTTGAATAATTGATTAGGCCCTACTTTTATGTTGCTTTCCTCTTTAAATGGAAACATTAATACGTTTTAATAGATGTAATCATTAATTTGCCTACCTCTATCTGTTGGTACGTATAACGTCCCTTCTATTGGGCCTTCCTTGACTCGTATCCTTTCGATGTTACCAGCCATGAATCCTCTGAGGATGTCACAATCATCAGCCATGACGTCATCTCGTGTCTGATCCTTGCCTACATGGCCGTTTAGGAGTGAGAAGGTGATATTAAGAGGTCGATCTGGACCATGGGTTTGATCTAAAGCACCAAAGGGTATCCTGGTTGACGTAGCATGCATGCTCCAGATGGGTCCGAGGGGTTCAAGTCCCCTATAGGTACCCTCTAATGAAGGTTGCGATGATGCTACGAGAAATAAAGCAATGAAAAACCTTCTGAAAAAACTCTGAAGCTGCCTCTGTAGGCTTGAACTATAACTGTTAAAAAGCGACGGACTTTTTCGATCTAAAAAAAATAAATAATAATACTATAACAGTTGAAAGATATATACACTATAATAGTTTTGAAGTCAATATGCATGAAAGGTGACGAGAGGAAATCTAGAACTACTTTCAGGAGGAAACGTTTACATGATGACGAAAATACAGTCGCTTCTAAATAATGGTTGTCCGAAGCAAATCATGATGATCTATAATTGTTTTAAATAATAATAATAATACTCAGTTTTTATATAACGCTTATTAGAATCACTAAGCGCTTCCAAACTTGGAGATTATTAGCCCGGCTTTAGCTGTGCCCAAATAAAACACGAATCCTAATTGGTACTGGTATATACTCACTTAAGACGCATCCTGATTCGTCAGCCACATAACATCCTAGAGATATAAGTTTCTCTTCACTGCATCCAATCTGAGTTTCTGCTTTGATTGTCACAGGTTGTCCTTGACTCAACCCTGATGCCTTGATGATTAATCCTTCATCAACCAATGATACTTTAGGATTAACAGTGATACTTGGTTGAAGATCAGTCCATATTGATTTTTCTTGCTGTGAGAAACACTGAATTCGTGAGGCTTTAGAGAGGAATCGACGATATTGAATGCCATTGCGAGATATATGATGCCAAAGAGACATGATGAAATCAAAATGGGAGATTTATGAAAATTGCCCTATAAGTTAAATTAATGTAAAGTTATCCGTGTTTTTGACATGTTTTTGAACTTTAGAAATCCTGATATCAGTTGTTAAAATTATTCCTTTAAACGCTTCATTGCTTTTATGTGTTTGTTAGTGTGTTGTATGATAGTTTGGACCCGGTATTGATTTAATAGAGGCGACTTTGAATCTGTCTATTTTCTGTTTTTCTATTCGTGCGTATGGTTACTGTAACGAGTCTGGTGGCGTTTTTGTGCGCGTTGTCATTTCTTGTTATTACGTCATACTCTTTGCTTTGATGTGCATTTTGAACAGCGCCATCTTGTGAATCGACGATGTCAAGTGTGAATGATGGTAAGTTAGGTGGCGAATTTTGTCTTAAAACTGGTAATTTACACTACTTTAATGTCTACTTCACTAACGCTAATAATTTTTGTAAATGTGCTGAGTTTGGGTGTATTCTTTATCATAAAGATCTACTTTCGTATTGATTATCATTCCGGAATTGTGACTAAAAATGTCACTAACGAGAACCTGGATATGTGGGACTGAGTATAACTAGATCTAACTTCATTTCACACCAACGACAAAAGCAAAGGCAAAGCACTTTCAGATGTGATTCTTTACTCTTTATTAAATTATGATTACTGATAAGAGCTTATCGTTACAAACGACTAATTGAACATGTTATTGTTCAAGCAAAGCTATTGGATAGTGGGTTTATAAAAGCCAAAAAGTGTCTCCCCCTAGGCTAAACAAAATCAAAAGTAGCATCTGACTTGGTTGTTGTTGTTGTGACATGTCTGTTATGTTGGTGTAATTACTCTACATTTTTAGCTATTTATTAGTATTTCAAGGAAATGCATAATTAAATGTTTTACATCTGTGTTTAGATTGTCCATATTTATATAGTTATATGCTTCTGTGGATACATCCAAGCTAGAAATACCAAAACTAGATTGGGTGAATGTGAACCCCCAGAATCATTTTTTAAAAATTGTATAAAATCCTTGACCGTTTTGCGCTTATGTACGTCCTTTCTGTTACTGTCCCTTAAAACATGTATAGACCTAGTGTACAAAATTCATTTCCTCTTCAACTATTCAGGGGTATACATGTACTTTAAAACTTGTTGTGTATGTGACCCACAGTCAAATGTGTCGGAGTCACTGAGGGAAATGTGTTTTTAGGACTCTTAATTTTTATTAATGTAAACTGTGTGTGTGTGTGTATTGGGTTTTTACAGACATGTATCAATCAGATATGATTATTTATGTCTGGGGACCGACCTTTAAACATCACCATCCAAAAGACGTGACTCAGTTTCGAACCTGCGTCCTCGGCTGAATCAGTTTGTAACTTCCATTGTTAGCTGGTGTACAGGCGCACGCCACAACGCATATACATGTAGTAGTCACAGGGCAATCCAACATTTGTAATATGTCAAATAAATTTGACCAATGAGTAAAAATATGAGATTACTATATCTTTGCAAATCTAAAATTTGCAATATGGTCAGTGGATTGTGAGGTATATGTCGAGGACAACTCATGTTTGTCATGTACAAAAATATTTAAATTTATGTTTTTCTCCTAACATCCCCCGCTTGAAGCACTAGTTACTCAAAATATATCATGGATAGTATATCACTATGAAAGGTCCTCTAAAATAGAAAGATCCTCTGAGAGGGTAGTGGGATTAGCAAGATCAAAGTCCTGTGTAGATCATTATAACAAAATGGAGAAAATAATCCACACAAAAAACCCAACTTTGTCGCTAAAAAAAAGTTTTATGTTGCTGTGCTAGGTCAATAGGTATTGGCAATGTTTAGACAGTCCATTTAAATGCAGGATCACTTCCTGTAAAGTACCCAATCTAACTCTGGTACTGGAATTAGCTGATAGAACTGTGGAATATTGCAACGTGCTGATTAATGATTAATTATGCCTATTTTTTCATTTTATTTTGATTTGTTTTTTTCAGATGCAGTTATTTAGAGGAGTTGTAAAATTGAGCTCTTAGGAATGCAAACCCTGAACCTGCAATACAAAAGATGTGTTGAAGGGCTCCTTGAAGATCCATCAGCTGTTCTCTCTTTCTACAATAGCGATGGTTCTAAGACACATCATAAACTCAGCACCTCGCTTCCATGCTGGTCAGTTCAGCCATCAACCATCTTTAAGGCAAGGAAACCAGCGAGCTTTAAGTCTCCTCACATGGTATAATCTTCCCCTGCCTGCACGGACCTGTTTTAATTACTCGATAGGTTTTCCACTGGTCTTAAAATATTTTCCACAACATCAAGTGCCCGTTTATGCACACAGTTGTCAGTCTTTAAATACACCATACCCCATATCTTACAGCAATGAGAGAATATCCTTGAATATGGAGCATTCATCAGAAAGGAATCCTAAGCGACGCCGTACACCTTCAAGCAGTCATCCATACTCTAAATCTAAAGTTTCAAAGACGTGTGAGATGGAATCAAGGGAGAGCAAGAAACATGATTTAAGAACTTCTAGTAGTCAAGGTTTCACTCAGGCCTGTTGGCCTAAGAATGGAGCAGAGTGTGAATGGAGAAGGGGTCCGAGGAACTTTGAATCCAGACAAAATCAAGTCAGGAATGTGCAGATTCCTAAACGACCTAATCACTTAAGAGCTACCAACAATCCTACACAAGATGGCAGGAAATCCATGAAGGTGACAGTAGAGAACACTGCCTCTATAAAGTCTACAGGGTCCTGCAGTCAATCTAGTATGCTGTCAGCACCACCTCTAAGCCTTCCTCTTCAATCATCTCGGTCCTTTCATTCATCCAAAGAATCGTATCGAGCCGCCTCTCAGTCAGGGACAGGTGAGATTTCCATTCTATTATAACCAGGGATGACACATTAGGGCTTTAGGACTTTGTCTATGATAAATGTATTGATAGTTTCTTATTTGTAAATAGGTAACTGTCACTGTGGCAGGGTTCTAAATTATTAAAAGAACAAAAGTGTGCTGGACAGTCTTAATCAAATTTATTTCTGATTTCAAAATAATCCAAACTCCAGGTAAGATGTACATGTTTGTAATCCAGACTCCAGAGAGTCATCAAAATGAAATACCCCAAAGATTATATTCAGTTGTGGTAGGAAAAATGAAAGGTTGGAATGAAGCTTGGTGAATAAGTTCTCATATTATTCCACTTGGATTTATAGATCTTTGACTTTCTTTCCATCAATTTGATGAACTTTTGTGGGATGTTATGTCAAATACATTTAAAGAGTCTGAAGTTAGATTTGCTCAATGTTTTCTTTGCCTAGCTCACTCAAATGCAATCTCAAGTGGGTTTTTGAATTGATTTGACATAAAGATTACTCCTTACAGAATCATTGACAAATAATTTATTTTTCTACCTTTGTTTATAGAAATCAAGAGCACTTACAGGAAGCGATCATGGTTCAATCTTCCTCAACACAGAGGACACCAAACCAAGGTATCAAGTAGAGATGGTGTAGAGTTCTCTATTGTGTCTTACAATATACTTGCACAATGTCTACTGAATGCAAACAAACACCTCTACAGTCACTGTGATAGAGACATACTGCCCTGGGATCATCGCAGACACAAAATCATGGATGAAATACTACAGGCTAATGCTGATGTGAGTATATACTACAGGCAGGCGGGTACGCAGGATTTTTTCAAGGGGGGGGGGGGGGGGGGGGGGTTTATCATTTTCAAATCGGGCTGAAAAAATCGCAACGACTCACCCAGCCGCTGAATAAGCGGGGGGGGGGGGGGGGGGGGGGGGGGGGGGGGGTAAGAGGACACTTTTTATTGATTCCAAAAAAATTGCAACGACTCAGTCAGTCGCTGAATAAGCGGGAAGGGGGGGGGGGGGGGGAGGGGGGTAAGGGGACATTTTTTTTTCTCTGGTCTCAAAATTGGACATTTTGCTCCTTTGGGGGGGGGGGGGGGGGAGAAAAGGTCTACTTTTTTAGGTCAGCCATTGGTATAAATTTATTTTTTTTGTATTAAAAAAAAAAAAAATACCAAGGGGGGGGGGGGGGGGTGTTTTCCGCAAAAATACATACATAAAAAATACCAAAGGGGGGGTTCAACCACCCCCCCCCCCTGCGTACGCGCCTGACTACAGGCCAATGCTGATGTGAGTATTATCACAAGGGAGGGTTATTGTGGTAGAAAGATGATGTTTGTAGTTGTAAGAAATTGGGATTAGGATACTCTGCAAAATAGTTATGTTTACATGTATATGGTAATGTTTTTTACTGGCACTATGTATATATATACACCTCTCACCTGCACACCTGGACATCCCCATGTCGCCACACACATGCACTCGCACACATCTGCAAGAATCTTCAGCAGTGAAGGAGGCAGATTATTTTGAAGAAGAAGAAGAAGGATATGGTAGTCGCATAGATGTGTTGGAAACAAAAAATGTTTACCCTCCCTCTTACATTCTTACAAAATCCCTGACAAATATATCATTGTATGAAATAAATATGAAAACAAAGTTAGATTATATTCATGTGAAACTTAAACAATAAAAGTAATAATAACAATGGTAATAAGAGGAAGAAAGTTGATATAAACCCCAGGAAAACATAAGCAAGTACAAAAACAAATCAAGACAAAAAGAGAAATGAAATAAAAAGAAAGGAACATATAAACAAGGGATTAAATAAGAGGGATTACATGAAATAAAGTGTACAGTATGTCAACAGTTTAGTCATATTTCAGGTTGTCGTTAGATCAGACTGTGTACATAGTATTAACCTCGTATGTAGCCATCCAAGTGTGAATTTAAAAAAAAAAAATTTTTTAATGTGTTTTATTCAGGTAATTTGCTTGCAGGAAGTTGAAAGCAGGCATTTCCAAGATTTCTTCAAGCCTGCTTTAGAGGCACGAGGTAAGTTAGAGGACCAAACTTTCTACATCACAAGCTGGGGTTTATGCAGCATTTTTTAATTGAATAGAATTGAATTTATTCGCCACTTTCGTAAAAACATACAAATTCAAAGAAGACAATCAAATATTTCTTGCAAATATAGATAAGCCACTAAAATGGAAAACACTTAAAGAAATTTCGAGGAGCTGGGATGTCCTTAATTTATTGGATTTTCATTTTTTTTTGTCACATTTCTGTTGCATCAAATGTAGTAATTAGAAATGAACAGCTTCTTAAACTTGTGCCATCATTGCAAGTAATATGGGATATTCACAGATATGTAATTTAACAACTGTATAATCAGTTTCTAAAAGGGTTTCCTTTCCCTAAATGTATTGATAGTATATTGTTATTATTTACAAAGTTCTTTTCATGAGGACCTTTCTGAAGATAAAAATGTTGGTGTAATAAGGGGCATTTTACTGAGATATTATACTAAACATTCATAATATTAATAAATTGATACACTTTTTTAGAGCATCACTTGAGCATTTATTGATTAATTTGATTTTATTATTGACAGCTTTTGTATCTTCATGACCTTTTTGCTCTGTTAAGTAATGAGATGATATCTATTTTTAGGTTATGCCTCTATTTACAAGAAGAGAACATGTGATAAGGGAGATGGATGTGCAACGTTCTATAGAACCAGCTGCTTTCAAGAAGTGTCTCACTCCAAGCTAGAGTATCAACGTGGTATTGGATTGTTGGATAGAGATAACGTAGCTATAGTCGTCATGTTGCAACCAAGAGGTTTGTCTTCCTCACATCAGCTGTGTGTTGCTAATACACACCTTCTATGGAATCCTCGCCGTGGGGATATCAAGCTGGCACAGTTAGGTAAGCAGACGAGGAGCAGCGCTTAACATTACATTATGCATAAAGTTACTGTAAGGAGAGTATCATACATTATGTGATGTGATAGGTTAATTGCCCTAGAGTTGATTCGGGAGAGTATTTTCAATTATGTTGATTTTGGTATGTTTTTTAAAATGTATCCAGGTTTGTTTGTTATATTGTCTTACTTTTTCAATGAAGTCTATCAATCATAGATTCCTGTTTATAGATGATCCTATCCAGTCTAATCCACCAATTTAAAATCACTGTCTATACATTATGTCCCATTTCCCTTATAATTACATAACTACAATATGCTTATATGTTAGTTCGTGGATTTATTTCTCATTCAAATCCATAATTAAGGAGAGGTCTATTTCATGCTTGCTACATATTTTTTTTTATATATCTTCAACTTTTATTACAATCAGGATCTCAGCAAAACAAGTATATATAGACTTGATTCAGATGCATATTTTCAGTATAAACTATTTGTTATAGTAATTATGATAAACTTCTGTTCTTATATAGGGCAAGGGCATATTACATTATGATATGCCCTTGTCTCTATGTGCTTTTCCAAATAGCCTTGAAACTATTAACCTGGTTGTAGTTTCAGCAACAACTGTTATCATCATGTCATCCATTTCAAGGAGTAATCCTACTAGTTACCTATGCACTCCATATTCCTATGTAGTAATATAATAGGTACCATTTCATATCAGCTTCTATACTGGCCTGGGTTTGTTAACCTTTTTATCACTGTCAAGATAATCATGTCTTATTGTCTTCATTCAGGTTTGCTCTTTGCCGAGATAGAGAGACTTTCTAACACCAATCAAGAGTCCACTGAGAATACCTATCATCCTCTAGTACTGTGTGGTGATTTCAACAGTGTTCCGCACTCTCCTTTGTACAAGTTTATCAAGGAAGGTCATGTCACGTATCAAGGTATGGCCGGCGTGGATGTATCAGGACAGGAGATGGGACGAGCAAGAGTACTCATGAGAAGCCCTCTATGGCCCAAGGAGATTGGAGTTAGCTCACACTGCCGTTATGAAGACACTGATGTCATGACACAATCATCTAGAAATTCAGGTTGGGTTCTTATCCTCTTTCTCGTGGAAGTTTTGTAATCTGTTAAAATTAAATAAAGGGCATTGGCAAAGTAGCTTTGGTAGACTTTTTAGTTTGTGTTCTTTTCATTTTTGGAAAAAAAATATGGCTAAATAAATAAATAAGTGCTTTCTTCTTTTACTCGGCTGGGAAAAAAAAATGGAAATGTTATTATTTTGCTAAATGAGTTTATAAGATATCCATGTTGTTTGATTTTAATCTAAAGTAATTTATGTTTTTCTATCTGTTTGCACACGTCTGTTTTATACAGCCATCATTACCCTATTTAAGGCTGTAATCCTCAGTATTTAAATCAATGAGCTCAGGGCATCAACTGAATGGTTTGTTGGAAATAGTGAAAATAGCAGCCCAAGGGCTGAACTACATTCAGTTCACAATAAAAGCACTTAAAACATATAGCAATGTTAAAACAATTATAACATAATGCTTGCGAGAATACATTGCAAGTTCAGATAAATAAGTTACATGTATAATATTATGACAAAAAATGTATATAAAAAACCAGCATTATTCTGAAAGTTAACACTTATAACTGTGATTTAGAATGTCTCTTATGATACTGAATCCTGATAATTAGAGAAATCTTGTATAAGTAGAGTATAGGTGTGAAAGTAAGATGGAAGAAGCATAACTGAAAGTTAATATTCATGGAAACAAAGTTACAAAATAAACGTTGTTTATTTTGCATAGATTTAAAATATGATGATGTTTTCTTATGAAATAGATCCTAACTCACCTTGAGTTTACTATCCACTTCTTGCCTGGGAATAGGTGACTAACATTTTTATTGATAAAAGCTGTTGACCTGAATCTTTTTAACTTTAATCTATTAAGATGAAGTTTATTAGATTAATTGATGTAAATTCTCATTTTTGGTATTATCTTTGTACTTTGCATACAGGTGGTGCTCCAAGGCATAATCGACAGAATTCAAGAGATCGTCCTGCTGATCATTGTGTCCTGCCTGATGACAGCCAGGGACAACTCATCCATCCTTTCTTCTTTTCTTCCGTCTATGATCATTGCCATGGCAACTATGAAATCACCACCAATCATTCAAGTACAAACTGTACAGTGGACTATATCTTCTACAGCGAATCAATGTCATCTAAAGCAGGAAGTCCATATAAACCTCTAGGTACACCAAACTTCACAAGTAATCTTTCGCTTGTCAAACGGCTTACTCTCTTTACTGATGGTGAAGTCAGAGCCATGGGAGGACTACCTAATGTTCATTGGACATCTGATCATCTCTCTCTCCAAGCTACTCTACGCCTTACTACAATGGACTGACGGTGAAGTCAGAGCTATGGGTGGACTGCCTAAAGTTCATTGGACATCTAATTATCTCTCTCTCTCCAGTCTCCAAGCTACTCTACGCCTTACTACAATGGACTGAATAGACTTTGTGTTTTTATAAATACCTTGAATTACCAATGATTTGATAAACATTTTTGAGATGATGATTTTAAGTATAAGCTAGATCTATTTGTGCAGTGGTATTATGTTAAATGAAATGCCAAATGAAACCTAATTGAGATGAAAGGTATTTTATTTGTTTAATAGTTTTACAAGTCACTTTAAAGAATTTTGTCCAAAACAACCTGGAGGATAGAGTTGACATTTTAACCTTGTAAAAGAAAACTTCACTCTGGACAGCTGTTATTTATATGATGTCCTTTTATATACATTTATCGTAGATTCTTCATGAAGTTATACAGGTCTCTCAGGTCCCAACTCTTTGCCTTGAATATGGCCACCCTGTGCTGTCTTGAAAGTATTTATGCTAAGTCGCTCTAACAGAATTAACGTATGCCCTGAAAAGCACACAAACATAAGATTACCGTAGTCCCACGCCTCTAAAAAAAGTCCATAGAAAGTTGATGACTCAGTGCTTTGGCAAATATACCCTGAGCAAAGGAGAGCAAAGTCATGAATCTTAACTATTTGCACAATGGAAATGTATACGTGTACATGTCTTACTATTTCATCAACTTAGTACTCAAGGCATTACAATGATGGGTTATATCAACATCTGCTTGTCGCCTGTTTCACACTTTTTAACCCTTTTTGGTTTGTCGCAATTAAACTATCAAAGCTAAGCAGTCAGATACCATTGCTCAGGCACAGCTCAGGCAATTCTTTATAGATAATGATAAATTATAGTTATGATTTGTAAATATAATTCATGTTGATCATAAACAAGTGCACTTCCCCTCATGAGTTTCAGTACTCATCTCCAATAAATGTATGTTTTTTATTAAGAGAATGGTGTTTACTATTTATCCTTCTTCTCAACAAAGTTTTAGCTAAATTTACATTCCTTAATTCATTATTATTATTAATATCCAATTCATTGTGATATGTCAGGGTTACTGAAAATGATCATCATTACTCAGAGATATAAGGGGGTAAATACACCTTCTTTCTACTACCTCATTAATCCTGTATTACATAGCACTAATGTGAATTCTGAGAGTACTTTAGGCAATGATGGTACTTTCAATCTGGGCATAGGCCAGTTACATGTATGGTATTGATGATTGGTTGACCTTTGACCTGGGGGTATTGATGAATGTAGGATATATCAACAATAAGTACATGTATGAACAAGTGAGCTTTAAAGATACCATGTCCCTTTTGCAGCCCACATCAAATTCTGTAGAACATTGCAGGAATTATGAATATGTCATGTTTGCCCTATCTGTGAAATTTTAACCTTAGCAGTGTCCTAATATTCAAATTATGCAAGGAAACCCGTTTACTTGCTAGACTTCACATGAGCATGAGCAATTGTCTACATCAATAACCCACTACTTATAATTGCCCAATTTAAGCTGATTTAATCTTTGTGCAGCACAAAACGTACGACCATTCTTACAATGGTCTGAAAATTCACAAACTAATAGTCGTTATTTTCCCACTTAAAGACATTTTCAGCCCCCTTTTGTTAGGGAAGTTCTAAATTAGTATTATCTTTCAAATGCCGTTCGAATTTAACCTTTTCATTTGTTTGCCCTGCAAAGGGGACATAATACCTTTAAAATAGTAGTTATCTTAATTTCAACAGACATTATTCAGACAAAACAGAAATATTGAGTTTGAACTATTTATGTGTACAGAGTGTTAGCATGTTGAGATAAACAATCAAATTCATTCATACTACTCCAGGAAATGTATAGTTTATTTAAATGATTTTTTGCAGACTAAGAATTCATATTGAGGCATTGTTTTTCACAGTTGCAAATTTGTTGAAATAAAAGAGGACGAAGCTGATATATTTCTGATTTGATTTGTCCACATTCTATATTGCGTGTCTTGATTTGTGTATGCATGTACTTCAACCAATCAGCACTATCATTGACAACATCAGGGATTGAATGATGTTCAATCAAAGTTATTACCTAATTATGACAAAGGCTGTGTTTATATGGCTCTTCATAACAAAAATTCAAAACATGAATCACTTTAATCATGTTTTGCTGTACATATAGTGTGGGATCTTGTGAGGCATTAATGTGACTCATTAACATTGTTGAAGGTTGATGAAAAAGTTGCATAATTTGTGTATAAATGTACTTTATTCCTTCTACTGTACTAACCCTGTAACATGCACAAAATCCTGAAAAAATTCTCAAACCACAAGAAAATTTATGGTTTTCTTTGAGGGTGTCACTGTGCGACACCCTCTTACATTGAATTTTCCCAATCGTTTTTCCATGAAAATAAGATATAAGACAGATTTTAAAAAAATCTGTCAACACTTAAATGTCTTGAATGGTATATAGAGCCAACTCCCTCCTTTGTGACGATTTACATTCACCTAATATGTAATTAAATTGCAATAATATAGTTGGGAGAATTAAGGAATCGATCAGATCAGTTTTTCCCAATTTTTATCATTATTAATGGTCTGTTTTCACTCAAACTTTCAGATTATCTTTAATTGTACATCTAACATTAAAGTCACTACCTTAGCACCATTTTCTCTCATCTGAACAAAGTTACCAAGTCCCTTTAATCATCACATCGAAATCGTTATTTCCATGAAACAGTTAAACCTGTAGTAGAAGTGTGATATAAAATACATGTATGAATGTATCTAAAAGCAGTTACATTGAGGCCTTTATATCTCCCTTTTCAAAACACAAAGATATAATACAAAATAATACAACATTAGTACTAGTAAAAATAATGATGATGATGACAATAATAATAACAATCACCCCCACACACACACACACACACACACGCACACACATGCTCCACTTGTTCTCATACGTTACTACTGTTTACGTATACGTGTATTTGTATAATATATTTGTCTTTCTCCAGTATGTCAGTCTATATGACTCACTCTAATTCTGTCTCTCTTTCTGAATGAAATCTCGATTCTCTGTTTCTTTTCTATTCCACCAAAATGTGTGACGTTCCCTCTGCCGCCTATACAGTTCCTCTCTCTTTCTCTCTCTCTCTCTCTCTGTCTCTCTGTCTCTCTCTCTGTCTCTCTCTATCTCTTTCTCTCTATCCTCTCTCAATGGCCCCTTCGTGTTTGTTTATCGTCTCGTTTGCTTTTGAAACTGTGCGACCTACCGTATCACAACCAACAATGATTTGACAAAAACGCAATAATATTTCACATTTGTGTGCTTTTCCGATATGCAGAATTGAATATTTTATGGTACGCGATGGTACGGTTGCAAAGGTATTAAACGCTAATTCAACAAGTACCGACATAATAGAAGGCCTTTTTACTATTCGTGCGCGAGATAAATTATTCTGTATGATCCGTTTGGAGTAGCATGCATTAGGTGAAGCTGAGAAATTACTACTATTCCATTAGAGTACCGACTAGAGTACCGGCACCATAGAACAGTACATCAATACATCTGTCAGCTAAACGATGGGCGGGATGACTATGGTATACATGTATATCTTAATATTCTACGGTATGGCTTTCATTCACAGAGGGACACCTGTACAAGGTGAGATTAACACGCATAATTTATGTAGGCATCATTCTGCTCTGTGTTACGTTCAGTGTGTCTGTATAGACAGATAAATATATTAAGAGAGAAAGTGAGACTGAAAGAGAGAGAGAGAGAGAGAGAGAGAGAGAGAAAGAGAGAGAGAGAGAGAGAGAGAGAGAGAGAGAGAGATTCGGGGGGGGGGGGGAGGGTGCTGTTGAGAAGGAGAGTATGATTCATTGAAATATGATTTTGCAATACCAACATTCTGGCATTATTATGGCAACAAATACCATGTATTAAACACACACCCCAAGGTGGCAGAGACGATTTGTTGCTAGGTCGGACAAGTTCTTTGAGCAATATTTGTCAAAATACAATGATAGTATAGATTGTGAGCTGAAATGAAGGGGGGGGGGGATTGGACACAGCCGGGCAAACTATAGCCCCTTTTAATAAACTCGTACAGAAAATATACATCATTGCACTGCAGCAATGGGCCTACTTAATGACAACCTTGTACATAATTATTTTCTACGGCAACGCCATTTAAAGGGCTCACCTTTCAATATCATGCTTCATTTCCCTCTCGTATACATTATCAAGTAGATTTTAAACCCTTAAACCTCCTCTAAAGTGTTGGGAGCACCAATAATTTCACGTAAATTGTATCAGGCAGTCATATAAAACACATTTCTGAAAGGATTTTCAAAACAAATGTGTTTGAAGTCGAATATTGATAAAAGAATACAAAAAAAAAAAAAAAAAAAAAAAATCTGCGTACAACAGAAAACCCAAATTACGTATTCTTTTATCAATATTTGTCTTCAAACATATTTTGGGGTAAAATCTTTGTACAAGTGTTTCTAAATGACATCCTCTTTCAAATTATGATACAATTTAATTGAAATTTTGCCATTAAATTTGTTGGCAAATTTGGGGATGCCAACACTGTCTTTTGAGGGGCTTTTATTAATTAATTAATGCAAACAAATAACAACTCACCACTGTTCTCTCCAACACATAATAGTCTTGTTAAAGTCAAAGAGAACATAATACAAAACCTTCCCATTTAAAGCTTATCTGCCGTAGTTTATAGGAGGGATTAGACTGCCCTGCAAGGTCACTGGACAGGTGGTTATCTCATCAACTCAGCCCTCAGTTAACATAAGAAAAGGAGGATCATGGGGGACCAATGGTCACCGATTAGTCATTGTTTGTTATATAGAGGGCGCAAGTAGCTACAAGTAGTGCAGTGGGCCTTTAAGTTCTTCTAATAAGGGAAGCCTTGTTTGCAAGAACGAATGTTTGATAAAAGTTTTCAATTTTCAAAACGAAAATGAAAGCTATTTCAATCGTGGAAAGCAGTAAGTTGCAAGGAAACAGGTCGCTTATCTTATTTGCTAGCCATTGCCCTTTTATAGCTTTTTTTCCCTTTATTCACTACTGTGAGACAGAGAAAATAAGTTTCATGATCTTCATTAACTCTAATAAGGCCGGGAGGGGGGCATTATGCCCCCCTCCACGATTTTTCTGATTGCTCGAGAACGCATATGGATGGCGCCCCGCCGCTCGCTGACTTTTTTTTTTCGAGTCTTGCGCAACTTTTAAAAGAATTTTTTTGAAAATCGGACCTACGGTTACAAGGTCACGCGACCTTTCGTCTTTGCATGTCAGCCCGAAAATCGCTCATTTTCGTGATTTGTGTACAAAACATATGGAAAAGTAATTTTTCCTAAAAACAGATCAAACATGGGTTATTGGGTCTTGTTTAAAGTTTAGGTGGTTGTTTTGGGAGTCAAAATAGTTAAATTGTAGTAAGAAATGAAATAAAACAACAAAAACAATGAAATACATAAGTTAAAAAAACAATGAAATACATAAGAAAATATCAAAACAAAGGATAACATAAGGAATAAGCTGGCTTTTCCGAAATTTGTTGTCGTATTATTATTCAGAATGGTCTAATGAATATATGTAGTGAAAAAGAATGCTTAAATATGAATAATATATGATTTATAGGTACAAATGTGATTTGTATGACTTTATTTGCATAAATTACCATAAATATGCAAATGAGTGAATTTTTCAAAAAATTGAAATTATCATATTATTCTATACACTTCACTTGCCATGTGTGCAAATTTTCGTGGCGATCGGCCGCTTTGCAGCTGAGATCTTAAGGGGAGCCATAATGCCCCCCCCCGGCCCTACTAAGACCTCAAATAGCCCGGCCTTTTTAGGGTTAAGACGTGATCACAGTCACAAACATTTAATACATTAAATCAACCAAATAGCACCAGCTTTATCGATTATGATTTTAATGAATAAATACATTGACACTTGGTTAGAGAGTTTACATGTTGAAGGGAGAGTTGCGAGCAAGTGCAAGCCCTGAACAAAAGAACCATCTCATTAACCAAGTACCAGTAATTAATGACTATCATCAATTCATTCCTATGTCGCTTGTTTGTTCTACAGGCACGACAACCTATCGTCTTGTGGATGGTACGTATGAATCTGAAGGTCGAGTTGAAGTGATATCAACCGGCTTCCCTTTAGCTTCAATTTGTGACAGCCTTTGGGGAATCGAAGATGCGACTGTCATCTGTAAATATCTGAATTATACTGGAGCTGATCTAGCATTACTATCGGGATACTTTGGTGACGCTGGGAATGCATCTGCTTATGATGAGTTGACTTGTACAGGGTTAGAGGACCATCTTCTTCAATGTAGCTACAGTGATGTGGGTTCTGAATGCCCACATTCTGGGAAAGGTGCAGGTGTTACATGTACAGCACAAGGTATGAAACACCATGGTTCAAATTTAAAATACATCTATATAAAGCACGTTTTTATTGAAACCTCTCTCTTATACAGAATAAGTCAGAAAAAATGTCCCAATTTTAAAAGTTGTACTGTTTGAAGTATGAATATTTAATCATGGGTTTCATGATATGTCTTGATAGAGTTATCCTCCCAGTACATTTAGGTACCATTTTCATTTGAATCTCTACATGCATGACTTAACATCAGACAATCTTTACAAGTCTGTCAGATCTCACTTGCGCCAAGTTGCTGTGAGGAATAAAATAGTGTTTTGAACAAAGACAGCCAGACAGACATAAAAACACCAAAAAAAAAAAAAGGACACAAACACACACGCACACGCAAGAAAACACACGCACAGGCAACGCACACGCCCATACATGATCGTTCCATTCCCGATAAGGCCCACCAAACTGTTACTTTTTGTCGGAAATTCTTCTTCTCGTACGAAAAGTTGAGTGGCCGCTGTCCTTGGTGCGTATTGGCAGATGTTGTGCTGCATGATGATGATGATGATATAGATATAGATTAAGATGATGGCAATGATGATGATGATGACATGATGTAGGTAGTGAATGTGTACTAAAGGGAAACATTGTCAGGGTTATGCCACTTAAACATTCAGCGATCTTGATAAAAATATATGCTTAATCAGAAAAGGGGAAATTATGACACAATTGTCACCATGTGTGTTGTGTGTGTGTGTGTGTGTGTGCGTGTGTTTGCATTAGTTTGTGTCTGTGTGTGTGTGTGTCTGTCTGTCTGACTGTCTTTGTTCAATGTACTGTTTATTCCTCACCCAGTAACTTGTGAGATCTGGCAGTCTTGTAAAGATTGTCTGATGTTCAGTCATGCATGCAGAGGTTCAAATGAAAATGGTACCTCGATGTACTGGGAGAATAACTCTATCAAGACATATCAAAACCCATGATTAGATATTCATACTTCAAACAATTCAACTTTTAAAAAGTGGGACATTTTTTCTGACTCACTCTGTAGAGGCCTAGCTTAAGAACTCGTAATCGTGCTGCATTGCTGGGATATTATAAAGCTTTGATTATAGAGGTCGAAAGACAGTACTAAATAAAGCTTTATTCTTTGGATCTGCTTCATAGTTTCATGGATGAAGAAGTTCTTCTTAACTCTTAAACAATTGAATAATTCATTAAAATACATAATGTAATTGATTTTTTAAACCTAGGTTATTGATCTCGTGCGGTCTTCAATCAGAAATTGGGCTCTCTGAATATTTCATAGCACACTTCATCCATCATATTGATTTAGTTTAGAGATAAAATGGTATTTTTCAAAACTGCCATTCATCTGTGAGCGATATGCAATATCATTTGATATTTCTGCAGGAAGCCTTCGTATAGCTAATGGGTCTGGACCTGGAGAGGGTCGTGTTGAGATTCTGGGAGAATCTGGAGACTGGGGTACAATATGTGATGATGGATGGGATAAGACCGATGCAGGAGTAGCATGTAGACAGCTAGGATACCCAGATGCTTTAGAAGCCATAGTCAACGTAGGTTATCCCAACACACAGCCGATCTTTGGTCCTGGCTCTGGTCCTATTCTTCTTGATGACCTCAGTTGTGTTGGAGACGAGAGACATTTAAGAGATTGCCGGGTCACAAAAGGATGGGGTGTCCATGACTGTACACATGGCGAGGATGCCGGAGTAGTATGCGATACAAAACGTGAGTTGAGCTTAACAATATAGTATTGAATATACAGACACACTGAACGTAACACAGAGCAGAATGATGCTAATCTTATATATATTTTTAGAAATTATAATACAAATTCAATTTTGGACTCGATTGGAATTTTATTGCCTATAAACGTCATTTGCTTTTGTAGGATATCATTAGTAATATTTAACAGAAATTACGAAAAGTAAAGAATCTTTATGGGCCAATCAGATTTACGTAACGAAAATGATTTCTATATCATAATCAAAATGAAATGAAATGAAATTAATGAAATACTTATCCATCTGTGAATTATTGGGAAACATTTCTAAAATATCAAACTACGCAATTTCTTGAAAATGCAGGCGTACAGAGCTGGCTTTTCTTAATTGCTCTAATTTCCTTTTACGTATGTAAACTGATATTAGAAAAACGAAGAAATATCTATATCGACCCTTTTTGACTTACATCAAACAGTTTGGAGAAAAAAAAATCACGTTTTATTTACTTAACTACAAAAAATACGAGTAGCTATCATCATGTTTCTTTAGTTGTATAATCAAAGTTTCATGTATTACCTTGTCTCTCTTCTGTCTTCTATTTGAAGTCTTTCTACCAATTATATCATTCGCTTTGCAGTGATTCGATTGGAAGATGGAGAATACTCTAATCAAGGTCGAGTTGAGGTGTATCACGGTGGGACATGGGGAAGCATTTGTTCTTCACTCAGTTGGAATATTAATGCTGCTCATGTTGCGTGTAAAGAACTTGGGTTTCCATTGGGAGCATTGGAAGCCATATCATTAGACCATGGACCTACTATAGTCGGAGAGGATAGGCGAGTCTTACTGGACGAGGTGAACTGTTTTGGTAACGAGTCTCGCGTTGGAGATTGTCAGTCTTTAGGTTGGGCTAAGGTTCAAAGCTGTACCTCACATCCACATCATAATCAAGTTCAACGCGCTGCAGGTGTCATCTGTAATGGTAAGTATCATGAAGCAACATGTGTAAATGAATTAATAGTATTTATGATAAATATTAATTACTCTGTAGGATGATATAAGCTAACATGTATGAAAGAAAACATATGAACCGACAAAAGTCAGAATTTACCCGAGTATTGTACCCCATTCACTCTTGATAAGTGAATATTGAGATTGGATTATTTAAACTTTGATTTAATTCCTCCTATTCCATGTGGAAATTTATAGAGATATCGACTGCTTCGAGAAGCCAGCTGCCGAGGGGTCATGGCAAGATGTGCAATTTCTCGAGAGCCTATAGAACAGCTAGACCTCGAATATTAAAGCAGTCGAATATTAAAGCAGTCTTTTATATGCCGAATAATAACAATAATAATAATAATAATAATAATAATAATAATAATAATAATAATAATAATAATAATAATAATATCATGTCTTGTTTACCCAGGGTAGCCGCATCAGTATTCATACTGTTCTCCCTGATATAGAGCCCTGCAATCATATTATTACCCCGGCTTTAACCGAGTTACCATTAAAAGGTGCTCAGGCATTCAAGGAATTTCTTCCTATCGGGTACCCATTTACCTCACTTTGGTGGAGTATGTCAAAATGTAGATTAATGTCTTGCCAAAGGACGGTACTCGAACCGGGAACCATGCGACCCAAAGTCCGGTGACGTATCCACTAGACCACGACACCTACCAAAAATTCTTACCTTATCCTTTTATTGAGTAAAGACTGGTTAAAACATCACGGAAAATCTGAGAAACTGTTTATCTTTGCTGGAAAAATGACTGAAAGTTTCAACCATTTGGGAATCGCAGGCAAAAAGCACTGTATGGGGTCCGCGCTCGCACAAAGACAATTTTAACACGTGAACCAATGGGGATCTGAGCACAATTGATTAATGCAGCCTGTTAATACCCGGGGCAACTGGCATCTTTAAAAAGACTATTGATCGGTAGACGGGTATGAGGGCACTTTTCAAAGGACTATTGACTGGTAGGCGGGTATTGAGGGGAATGGCTAAAATCACGACTGCAATTTCGACAAATTAGATGGGTAGATTTTCAAAGAGAGGTATATAATATAATAACAAATAAAATATATCTCTGCAATTTTCCTGGTAAAGGTACAGTCCTAAAGCAAGACACATCGGATTTCTTCGACCTGCCATTGTCTAATGGTGACAACACCCTGCTGATATTGATTAAAGCATTAATCAGGGTATGCGCTATTCTCACTTTATGTATGCTTCAAGTAGTAGTTGTTTTTATCGTGGTTTATGTGTCTAATTATTGTGTAGATCCAGCAAACGTCGTTAGACTTCTGAGTGGATCTAGCAGCTATGAAGGTGTGGTTCAATTCCGATTTAGATCTGAACCTGGTTTAATATGTGATCCTGATTGGAGTGATAAAGAAGCAAATGTGACCTGTCGACAGCTAGGATACCAGTATGGACGAAGTGAAAAGGCAGTTTCACTTGGACCATTATCTGGAACCATTTTAAACCTGGACTGTCGCTGTAACGGAACTGAACAACACCTGGGAGATTGTCACTTGTCTCAGTTCCTCGCCGAAGAATGCGACCCAATAAACCACATAGCTCAAGTCAAATGTGGACCTCCAAAAGGTAAGAAATAACACTTTGAAATCCAATAATTTTAATATTGATTGTGACTTCATCTCGTAGCTCGAAGCAGTTTGCAGGTCATCAAAAAGTCATCCTAGTTATTTAGTAAACGGTTGTGGAATCTGGCATGTAATAATATCCTCTCACTGGATTCTTTACAGAGTTCGATCTTCGCTTGGAGGGGAGCGTCTACACTGAACAAGGCAGAGTGGAAGTGTATTTTGATAATGAATGGAGCTCCATCACCGATAATTACTTCACTTATTATGAGCGAGATACAGCATGTCAACAGCTAGGGTATGAAGGTGCACTTCATCTCTACAATACGTATAGCTTATTTGAGAGAGGAACAGGCAGAATTGTCATCGATGATTTAGAGTGCTACTCATTTCAGTACAAGATAACTGACTGTAGTATTACTTTCACCGGTAATACCTCAGCAAACACTCATGATGATGAACTTGAAGTCGTCTGTGTTCCGCATGGTAGGTCATCCCTGTTAGTATGGAAACATGATTGCTTAACACATATGGGTCATCACGCCGAATTTCGCAACGGAGGAGGGGGGGGGGGGGGGGGGGGGTAAGAGGACATTTTTTTTGTTGGTCTCAAACAGTTCGCAGCAACGTCTGAGCCAGCCGCTGAATAAGCGGGGGGGGGGGGGGGGGGTACGAGCACTTTTTTTATGTGTCCAAAATTTGAAAATATGGCCGATCGATCTTTCGTTTCGTTGAGGGGGGGAGGGGGTGAGGTAGGCTTTTTTTTAGGTCACATATTACCACTATTTTTTAAAAAATATTTGTTTATTAAAAAAGAAAGAAAAAAAATAGGGGGGGGGGGTAACCCCAACCCCCCCCCCCCCGCGTACGCGCCTGAATGTATTTCATAATTATTTAACAGAGTAATACACCCATTTTAAACGTCAGCTCTACATAATCTTCACAGAAAAAAGTACATGTAAGCATCAGCAATCTATACTTCTAAATTTCTTGTCATCAACCATAAATACCAAGGAAGAGACTACTCTGAGACAATTCATATTATATTGCTTTTCCAAGTAGTCTGAGTGGCGAAACATTAGGTACATTATACAAATAATGCACTGCAGTGAGGGCATTAGTAAGAATTACCAACACAAGGTACCTTTGGAACAGTCTAACACGCCCTAGGCGAACAAAATGCTGTGTATTATTTGTTTTTATAAAATTGTGGCGTGGATCCTTGTTATTTGATAAATAGCCCTCATCTCAAAGTCCGTACATTACTAATTCTAGGTCTACATCTATATATGACTGATCTCGATCTAACTTAGATAACTAATGCGTTTTAAATTTCGCGGCAGCCATTTTCGCGAGTAAAAGTAAAACGATAAATCTCAAAGGTTTCGATCGCAAAACATGATCGCCAATGACCGGTTATTACCCAAATTTAATACGCGTTAGGCAAAAATAAAGGCCTGGCCACGTGTACGCTAGCTTTCAACCAATCATTTGATTAGGATCTACGTCATCATCTTATAAATACTGTTATTATTGTGTTATTTTCCACTAGTCTGAGTGAGAATCAGTAGGTACATAAACTGTTATTATTGTGTTATTTTCCACTAGTCTGAGTGAGAATCAGTAGGTATATATACTGTTATTATTGTGTTATTTTCCACTATTCTCAGTGATGAATCATAAGGTACATATACTGTTATTATAATGTTATTTTCCACTAGTCTCATTGGCGAATCATTAGGTACATATACTGTTATTATTGTATTATTTTATTTCCACTAGTCTCAGTGGCGAATCACCCTATCAGATTGATCAATGAGAAAGGTCAGATTAACATGGAGTATGGCAGAGTGGAGATTTTCCATGACGGTATCTGGGGATCAGTATGTGTTAATTACTTTAGGGATGCTGAGGTGAGTTGTTCTTTTGTGTTCCGAACAGTACCGTGCAGAAGCGGCCCTCCCGGGGGCTATTTTTTTTTCCCAAACAGGTTTGTCAATGCTAATATTTCCGGTCATCTGATTGGCTGATATGTTAGGTCATTAGCAATGACGTAACCGTTAGGGTGAGTGATAGGGTTATAGAAATCATGCAGATTCACCTTCATCAACCCATCGTTGGCTCAATCGGTAAGGTCAGCGTAATACAATCTCAGAGTTGTGGGTTCAAGTCTCAGTTTATTCAGTTTTTTTGCCTTTATAAATAGTGAGGCAAAGCAATAACAAATCAAAGTCTAATTCTCGCTACCCCAAATAGCGATTCTGCCGAGATCCGGGGAAAATCCTGAAAACGCGCATTGCATTATGGGATAGCTTTTCGACATTACAGCTTCCTGTGCAGGCGCGCGATAGCGCAAACGTAAAACGCCGTCGCCACACAACGTGTATGCACCGAATATGTCGTCTGCTCGGTCTTGTTTTCTTTTCGCAAATATTTCAACGTTTATTTGAACATTTCATTCGTTGTTTTTTGCGTCTTTTGACATCAGTGACGATGGTTTTCTTTTGTGAGGCTGCACAGTGCTGGGCTCATGATTCCAAGCGTAAGAACCCTGAAAAATGGGGGTGGATGAAGGCCGTGACTTGGGATGGGACTCTATACCGGAAGTTGTAGTGACGACCCGAGAGAGTGAAAATTACCTCGTCTCGCGAATTTCGAGATTTTCGTACCTATTTAGGGTAGCGAGAATTGTTTGTGACCTCTTTCCATGCTGCTAATGACGTAGAACACTCGGCACTTGACAAACACAAGGTACGATAATACGCCAACGGCGGACTGTACTATACTGGAAGAAGAAGAAGAAGAAAGAAGAAGAACATATCAGCCATTGAGAAGAACGGAAATATAAGAAATTCCAAACCTGTTTGGGAATAAAAATTTCGGGGGGGGGGGGGAGGGGGGGGGGGGGCACAGTGCCCCCACTTTTTCAACCACTCTAAAAATGTGCCTCTTTTACTTTTATAAGTGTCCCTATTAATTTGTAAAAGTGCCCCTTCCCATTTTCCTTCGACAAGTTCCTATTTTCCTTTGCAAAAAGTGTCCATTTTCCTTTCTCATAAGGAATCTCTATTAAGTGCCTCTTGTTAGGTACGAGAAGTGCCTCATTTCTCTTTTGATAAGTGCCCCCTTCACCTCTGATAATGGTCCTATTTAAATCTGAGAGGTGCCTCTTTTACTTTGACAAGTGCCCCTTTTCCAATGTAAGAAGTGCCCCTTCCCCTTTTAATATCTACTCCATTTTAACTCGGATCAGCTCGGATCGGATATATTTTCACATGTGTCCTTTTCCTTTCTAATAAGTGCCCCTTTTCCTAATGATAAGTGCCCCATTTAAAAAAGAGCGCCTTCCCCTTCTCATAAGTGCCCCTTCTCTGGTAAATGACCCTTTCCAGGTACGAGAAGTTACTCCTTTTCACTTCAGATAGGTGCCCATCTCACCTCCGATAAATGCCCCTTTAAAATCTGATCGGTGCCCATTTTCTTTTAACTAATGTCCATTTTTCCTTTATTACAAGTGTCCCTTTTTCATTCACATAAGTGTCCCTTGTCATATCTGGTCATTGCCCCTTTTCAGGTGCGATAAGTGCCTCTTTTCACCTCTGATAATTTCTCTTTTAACAATGTATAATAATATCTTATAAATGACCCTATCAAAATCTGATGAGGGCCTCTTTTCCGTCGACATTCGTCATTTCCTATTCTCATGACTGACTTTTTTCATCCCTGGTGAGTGCTTCTCTTTGAAGGTGTAAAAAGTGCCCCATTTTTACCTCTGATAATTACTCTTTGTACTTTGGAACACGTTTCTTTTCTTTCCTGATAAGTGTCCCGTTTTCCTCTCATCATTAAACGCGCACTAGCTAATTTCAAGCGACTAAGAGCAATTTCCCCCATCTATAGATGATGTACTTATGTTACTTATCAAAGGTCTGTTTAGTCTTCCGGTATAAAAATGTGCTTATAACCCCATTAGGATTGGGTTTTTTACTTTTTTATAAGATGTAATTTTTCGCACTGCGACCTCACACATCTTAAGTTTTTCCTCGCTCGCTCGCAAACAGTTTTTTAGACAATCAAACCAAACTGCAAAGCATGATGCTTAAGCAATATCTTGTATGGTGTACAAAGTTAAACAAATGTTGAAATCATCCCTGATAATAATGTAGGGGTATATACCAATGTCTAAAAAAATTGTATATTTTCGCTTTGAGATTTTCCTTTGTAGGTGCCCTTTTTCGAGAACGTGCCCTTTTTTCTTGGTGCCCCCCCCCCACTTTGGAAGTCACTCGGTTGCCCCTGGTACTGTGGTAAAATACCATGGCTAAATTTCAAAATATTTCTGATTGCTTCGTTTCAAAGTTCGTCAGTTTTTCATTCATTTATTTAATTGTAGTTGCTTTTATTACAGGGTAGCATTGCCAGTTACAAAACTGTTTTCCACATTGGTCATGTTGGCTTCGACAACAATATGATTAAAGATTGAAATCGAATACAAATCAAAAGCTAAGTTCTATGTGAATGTACCAAATAATCGTTTAAGGCAAACTAAGAATAAAATATCAATAATGAAGGCGGATTCAAGACTTTCATTGAAAATTACAAAAAGCAAAAATAAACAAATATTTCATTGTACAATGTTAAATCATATCTATCATCGATAATCTGCTGAATTCACCGGGGGGAGGGGGTTTACACACAAGAATAAAGGAAGTCGCCCTAAATAGTTAGCTTCGACTGTCTAATAACGTTTTCCTCTTATCTCACGGTTAGGATGAGGAAAAAAACACTGACTGATTTTAAGAATTGTCATATATTTCACTTGCGTCATTATGCAGAGAAAAAGAAGCGAATCTATTATACAACAATTCGGGTCAGAACATGTATTTTCAATGTGATTCTTATTCATACATATTGCGATGTCATGGCTATTTCGGTATCGTGGTAAAATATTTGGATAGATATATAAGAACTATCTAATTTAACTCCAGAAATTGCGTTCTTGTTCCATCTTATTCCAGTACATGTATCATTAATTTTAATCAGTCTATTTTACGTTCCTGATTAATGCGGCCTTTTTCAATGTACTAAAGAAAACCCTTTATCTGAATCATTCCAGTCACGATATACAGGGGTGGGTGCATTCTAGTTTCTACACAATATTGGATCTTTCTGAACTCGATTATCATCTTTGATTAAAATTCGATTACAATTTTATTGCCATTCAATGAATTGATGTTGGCTTTTTCTTCCATACTAATCCACAGTTAATCTGCAGAGAACTTGGATATAATGATGTCACATATGCAAGAAGTCTCATTCTAGGATCGTACTCCATCCCTGATCCAAGCTGGGTTTGGTTTCGTTTGGAATCGTGTGATAATTTGTTTATTAGCATGCGGAATAAACAACATCTCTTTGAATGCCGATTTACATCATGGGGTAAAATTGATGTATGTTACAACAATCGTCTCATTGGAGTTCAGTGTATTGACAGCATACCCATTGTTACAGGTAACAATGGACGTCACGTCATCCCTCACAGTTGAAATGATTGTACTCTTTTTATTTCATTCTCACCCATCGCCCCGAGTCTCTCTCTATCTTTCTATTTTAGCTCTATATCAAATTATGTAATTGAATTGAATCTATTCACCACTTTTATAAAAACATACAAAGTCAAATAAAACAATAAAATATTTCTGGCAAACATAGATAATCCAAATAAAATGGAAAATACACTAAATCAACTTCCTGTCTTGTCTCCAAATACATTCCTTAATTTACATGTGTAACTTTCTCCTCTTTTCTTCTCCGCATTTGTTATTTTCGTGTAATATATTGATAGCATTTTGAAACTTTTATATATTGTCTACCTTTGTCTATTTTTAATGAAAGTATTGAATATAATAAATCGATCTGAACTGAACAATCTAAAATATTCAGTACTTGTATAATTTGTATTTATACCAGGATACTAGGCCTATATTTTAATCAAATTCATTTCAACCTTCTTTATTGCTTCCAGATTTAATTTTATCTTTTGACATACCTTAATTTTGACCTTTGACCAACCTACTCCGAAATCACACTTAGGCTTTATTTTGATACCATGTGCCTTCATATAAATTTCATTAAAATTCTTCTAACATTACTAAAGTTATGGAACGAAAACCGAATTTGTTACGACGGAATAAGGTCAAACGGAAGGACGGTAGCGTTATTTCCCCCTCCGACTTCGTCGGCGAGGAAAAAAAATAATTGTAATGGCGCTCATTATTTCATCATTTTTTGTATGTCCGAATTTGTTCGCTCTCTTTGCAGTACCTACATTTTCGAATTCGAATGGGGGGATTCCGACACAGGTATCTGCAAGGGCTGGACTGAATCGGTGGGAAGTCTTTTTGATAGCTGTTGCTTTCATCTTACCTTTGGTCTGTGTGATTGGCTGTTGTTATCATCGGCATCGATCTAAATCAACAAATACACCTAACAACGTAAACTACACATCTACAAACAATGGATCTGTGTCGGTAATTGTGACGTCACTACCACCTCCTTATGTCCCTTCTTCACCATCTCCTATGGAATTACCACCAAGCTATGATTCAGTAATCCAACCAACAAATCAAACCGATCAACCGACTGATGACAACGTTACCCGTCCAGAAGACGTGACTACCAGTGATGCTAATAGTAGCATTCATTCATCGCTAACACCCACCAATGTCTCGAACGTTGGTGATCACTCAGATGCAAGGCCTACTAATCTAACAGAGGACAATAACACTGGTGATGTTGACAATCATTCAGAAGCCATCACCCCAAAGAACACTCATAATGTTGATGACGTTACCTTAGCGTCAAATGATGCTCATGTGTAACATACCTGGCGCTGTAAAAAGTGTTTATCGTCCCTTTCTCTGAAATAAGTAGCTAAGCTGACATTTAGATGACGTCCATCCTCTGCTCCTGCAATTTATTTTCACTGCATTATTACCATACAATGAGCTAACAACAAATTATACAAAGAAAAAGGAAAAAAGTGCCATGTTGAAGAAAGTAGGAGTGAATTACAGTGAAGCTTCTTTATTGGCTGTTTTAGGACACGTGAGTGAACCCGGTCTTGCTGGATGGAAGGTTTCCCTAATAATCATTGATGTAGTGATACCAATGTGTCTTATAATTACATTGTTCTTTGGGTCACATTTGTACGTTTAGTTAGTCTAGTTATAGATGCAGCCACATTGGTGCGGAAACTTGCAGGTAGGATATGAACATGGGCTTAATACCGAAGGTCCATTCTTGTATGAACAGAGACAAGCCATGGTGAAAGTGTCCCTGGTCTGATTAATCACCGATACAACCGCAGCTAATGCAGCTACTACAAAGTAGTGCCTTGGTGTAACTGGTCAGATTTGCGTTGCAATGTTCTTTTAAAACAATCATTGCAGTTAATTCAATTTCAATTTTAATTTTAAAAAACAACATCACAAATCAATTATAAACATTTACAACAAATGTAGAAATGCATATTGGAAACAGAGGGGTCCACTAAAAAGCAATGATTGTACAAGTGTGAACACCTCAAATGATAGTTCGTAACTACAAAAAGAACTACAAAATAGGCACAAAAGGGGGATGCCAATATAGACCAAAACGGGACAAGACAGTACTTTACATGACAAAGATGGAAGAACATGGTCATAATACAAAAAGTAGAAAATGCAAAAAAAAAAAGAAGTGAGAGATCGGGAGGACAGAAAATAATACAAAATGATGAGCTGCATGTGGGGTAGAGAAGAAGATAAGAAAAGTGAAATGCGCATAAGAAAGGAGATAAACATGAGAAGGCACAATATAATATATCAAATTACAGTTTGAGTCAGCGAGTAGACAATGAACTTGTATTCAACAAAAACAACAACAACATATACTTCAAAAAGGTTTAAATGATTGTAATGAAAAGAATTTCTTTTTTTTCCTTAAAAGTATTAATCGATAGAGCATTTTTATTTCATTACTTAAAGAATTCCAAAACTTTGGACCTTAGTGTATAGTTCTTGCGAAGTTTTAAAAATGCACAGTAAATTATATTACTAGACTTGTTTTATATCGCAGAAATAATACTTGTAGGCTATATATAAATAATTAATATTTAAATCATTTTGAAATATTGATAACCCATCTTTTTTATTGAAAGACTGTGATGCCAAAGACCCATACAAATAATATGAGGTCGAAATCGCAGTTGATGAAATACACCTTAACTAGTATGAGATTATTGATTAACGAGAAGATTTTTCTTCCTTTAGTTTTTAGAGAAATAAAATGAAAATGACTGAAATTGTGTATTTGAAAGTGTTAATTGTTTGAGTGCAGTACTTTTTAATTCAATAGTAAAAAATGTCAGTGTCACAGTAATGAGGAAGAAAGAAGAGAGAGAGAGGGAGAGAGAGAAAGAGAGAGAGAGAGAGAGAGAGAGAGAGAGAGAGTGGGAATAGTGGGGGAGAGAACTAGTCAAACAAGAGGGAGAAAGATAAAGAAAATTGTCATAGACGATATTCCGTAAAAATTCGTCTTTTGTGTTAAACATATTTATAATAATAATAATAATATAAATAATAATAATTCCGCTTACATAGCGTTCAATACAATGTCTCCAAGCGCTTTACAGATAATTATACTATAGGTCTTTTAAACTGCTTGCATTTGGTGATTTTATTCATCGAATGATCGAAGACTAATAAAGGGTGAAGAGTGATGGAACAAAAAGATGCTAAAAAGGATGGAGTAAAGAAAGTGGAAGGGACGAGTGAGAGGGACTGAGAGAGAGAGAGAGAAAGAGAAAGAAAGAGAGAGAGAGAGCGAGAGAGAGAGAGCGAGAGAGAGGGAGAGGGAGAGAGAGAGAGAAAGAGAAAGAAAGAGAGAGAGAGAGAGCGAGAGAGAGAGCGAGAGAGAGAGGGAGAGAGAGAGAGAGAAACAAACAGAATGATGTTAGTATAAATGAATGGAATTGTTTTGTTTGTCTAATGAATGCCGATCTGCCCAGTCCTTAGCCATTTTTAAAAATCTCATCAAACCTGGCAATTAATAGCTCATTTTTTATATGAAGGTGGAGGATGGAGGTTGCAGTGAAGACACATTTATTCTATTCTTGAGTTTAATGTAATTTGTATTTTGTAAACAGATGGTAAACTGGTAGAGTAGCTATACCTGAGTGCATGTAAAGTAAGCGTGAGTGTGATGATGATGTGTGTGGGGGTGAATGTGTGCGTGTGTGCGCGCGTGTGTGTGTATGTGCGTGTGTTAGCCTTCGTTACTACTGTCATTTCTATATATAATATTGTTCATTGTCATTTTTATGTTCTTTTTAAACAGAGCCGTGTGGTAAACCAGCCTATTTTAACAATGTTTCGTAATGATTATGTAATTGAACAAGATACTCTGTATAAAGATGTGAAATAAATAAATAAAATAAAAATAAAGAGAGATCGAGAGGGAGTCGTGATACTTGGAAGAGAATGAATACAATACAATGAGATAGAGGAAATAATTAAACGAAAGGCTCAGAGGGGAGGAGGTATCCTGGAAGGAACTCATATGTGTTAAATTATGTTTAACAAGTGAATGTTCAGGTTTTTTTGTTCATCATCAGCGCCAAAATGAACTCGTATACAATGAATACAAACGTCCTATATACCAAACAGGTATGACGTACTAGTACGTGATCTGTACCATTTGTACTTTTAGCTGAGTGAAGCCCCGATGAAATTTTGAAAAAAACAGACTAAAACGTTTGGTAATTAGCCAATATGTTTGTTAGCCAGCTCTGTTCGGTGCGTATAGGCATTGTAATATACATAACCCCCACCCGAGAGGTGGCAGAATAAATTACACACAATAGAACTAAGAACATCGAGTAACTTGATAACGAAATTATTATGCATTGAAAATAAAATGTCAGTGGAAAGTAGCATTCATAGCCGTTGTAGAGATGCCATGTATACAGGCCTACATGTATACAAAAAACCTCAGATCATTTATAATGCGAGTGAAATCGTTTACATGGCAGATCATGGTAGCCTAGCTATAAATTCAATTACACACTGCCATAACTATAATGTTGTGCAATCTCAGATAATAGGCGAGAATCTCATTGATTTCAGATGTGTTGGAAGCCGCTGTGTCAATGTGAATAAAACCTGTCTAGCTCTCACTCACCAAAGGATTATGACGAGGCAATATAAATAAATTATGAGTCATGTCATTAATAGGCCTGCATTGACATGATGATATTGAACATGATGATGCTCATAGAAACGCAAATCATTCATCCATATTCTAATTATCAAACAGTTGAACTCTACCTAAAAAACCTCATGAAACTGCCATAAATGAGAACCTTTTTTTAAAATCTTTTTCTTTCAGAGTTGTTTTTTTTCATAAAGAGGGCTGGGGTTTAAAATGGGTTCCCCATTTGAATATAAGACTTATTAGTATGGCGCTATGAAAAACACCTCTTCAATCTGTTAAATAATACGAAGGCGATCGGGTGAGTAATCAAATACCAACCTAGTATGGCAACGGCACAACCCTTTAGTGACTTGGGTTGGAAAGACGACCTGACTGTGATAGAGGCATACTACGATCTTGGGTACTGGGTGCTGATGTGTGGGGTATAACACAAAGATGTCTGCCATTCATATATTGCATTATTCTCTCATTGTAGGGACATGCTTTGTCTCTCACTATGCTGTAGCACAGAATAATACAGTCGGGCAAGGTAAGTGTAGAATCAATTTCATATTGTGCGGTAATTTTTCAGTGCAATACTAAGTATAGGCGCATGTACGTGCCCCGTTTTCGATGTATAGCTGCATCTATAATTATGCACGACTCTAGCAGTATAGACGAATGTCGCATGTGTACCATGGGGAATCTGTCACTTCCACGAACGTGTAATACTGGTATACTCTCCTCTGTGTTTAGTACCCTGCTTTCATGAATGTATATAGGAGTATAGCCTACCTGCATCCAGTGATATTATAAAATGGCAGCCCTTAAACCATTTGATCATAACATTCTCTAATAGTCTAACAATCACTGTACGTACCACGCTACAAATGATAAAGCTTAATCGTTTACATCAAGGAGTACATATACAAGTATAAAGGTTTTTCTGAAAATCGCTTTGGGACATCGTAAATGGTTGTTTGCATGAAGCACTATAAACCAAGAATATGATTTAAAGCCCAAGTCCACTCCAAAAATAACTTACTTTCAGTAGAACCAGAAAAATCAGACGAACCAATCAAAAAAAGTTTGAGCAAAATCGGATAACTAATAAGAAAGTTATGAATTTGTAATGACATGAAAAACTTTGAAAATCACTACACAAATTGGCAACTCACTCATGAGTCTGTGACGTATGGTCCTCACTATCCACTAATTATTTTCTTTATATTGATAATGTAAATTTCCTATTTTTACCCTAAGAATCTTATTTCTTCACACCAGCATCCAAGTTAGATTGTTAGTAATAACTAATATGTCTTTGTGTGGATGCACAAATAAAGAGTAATTTTTGTAGAGTTAAATCATGAAAAATTGAATTTTGATATGCTATTTATATAAAAATCAATAATTATGAAATACAATATTGAGAAAGTAGTATCAATTCTTAAAAATTCATAACAAATTCTGGGAAATGTCATGCATGCAGCTATGATACAAATCATATAACCAGGGCAAAGGCATGGGGAAAATTAAGTTTTGGGGGATAAAAAGGGAAATTAATGAGATTAAACTATATAAAGCAATTGATAAGTTGTGAGGACATGACGTCACAAGCTGATAACCATCTTGGCAATTTGTGTTGTGATTCTCATTGTTCCATAGTTTTACATACTTTTCAAAAATTCATAACTTTCTTATTATCCAATTTTGCTCAAACTTTTTTTGATTGGTTTGTCTGATTTTTCTGCTTTTATTGAAAGTGAGTTATTTTTCGAGTGGACTTGTCCTTTAAGTATGAGCGCAGTGGCGTACGCAGAATTTTTAAAAGGGGGTTGTTTGAAATTTTATGGCATATTATTTAGTACGGTGACCCGGCGAGGGAGCAAAGCGACACTGGGGCCTTGCTTTTTCGTGGGTACACAAGGAAATACGATTTTTGTTTTCAAGTTCCAGTGGTGGTGGTCACTATAAGAAGCATAATTGTCACTTTATTTTCCACTGCGTCAAATTTTGAACGATTTATATTATATGTTATGAGTGTGTGTGTATATATAGGATTTATTTAAATCAAAGCAAATCACATCAAAAACCAAGAACAAACAGTCCGAAGACTGACACCTGTCTTGGGAACAACGTACAATATATAAAATTGTAATAAAGTAGGCCTATACATAATAAAATGGCAGCTACGAATACATAAATACGTGACATAAGTTAAAATAACAAATGACTATCATCATATCATGTGAACATGGACAATAATTAATGAATTTGGTTACCTGA